GGGGAGAACCTGTTTATGTTTTATATTCAACCCTGAAACAGAAGCCTCTGAAGACTCGCAACGAAAAGCCAACATCCGGGGATTAGGCGAAAAACCCTGATTCCAAACCGATCAGGAAGGGGCGTACGGACCACCTCACTGAAACAGTATCCCTGTCAAGAAAACACTCTAGTCCTTGTATTAGAGCGACACGTTGAATTATTCTAACTACAAGTGTGATGAAGAGGCGGAGTGAGGTAGGTGTGTCAAAGCCTAGCCAACCTGAGGACGAGACATTTATGAAGCCCCGTTTTCACTGTAGTTCATTGGTCCAATGTTGGATTCCATTGTATTTTGCTACCCATATTTGTACTTATTTACGTAACGGGTTCTCTGAATTCCTCACAGATTGTCTCCTGAGTCTGTTCACTGGAGCGACATGCCTTCAAAACCATATTCTGAACCACTGTTTTTGTACGAAGAAGGTAACTGGCACACAAAACGAACGGCTGAATCAATCGGTCCGCTATTATCGGACAAAACAGCTGCAACCCCAACTCTTCCTTCTTGTGTGGACTCAGAAATTGATCCGATTTCCCTTCAGTCCGATCGGAAAACGGTTGTGTTCCCTTCCAATCCCCAAACCGTCACTACGGCTAATCCTAGTCCCACACCTTTTCCCTTACCGCCTGGTGTTCGTGCTTTGCGCATTATTCAAATGCCGGAGCAGAAACGATGGACGGTTGAAATCCCGTCTACCGCTATGTCCAATCGGTCCTATCCCGTACTTTTGTCCCCAAAATCACACAGCGTCGGTTCGTGCCCTAAACCGGACCGAAATCGGAATTCAAGTGGCACAGGTATGCGGCGGAACCGAAAAGCTGTGCAAGCGTCACGTGTGGCGCCATACGCACAGACCAGTCGCGGAGTCGGACATCACTTGCCCGCTAATCTACCTCGACCCAATCAGCTGAGTTGGTTCGATACAACTCTGCCACCGGTGGTTTCAATCTATTCGACTGCACGAAAGAACAAAGTAAGTTTCGGATCTCATAACCGACGTAATCGATGATTAACGATGCTGAGTGATATGGCTGATTGTTTAGAATGGTGATACTGGTGTATCTACTCATGTTTCAACCAGATCTAGTTTATTTCCCTTGTGAATTGCAATCTTGATAGTACTATCAGCCGTTTTACTGTTTTGTCTACTCTTTCCTCGTGGGACAACAGAAACAAAAACCGTCACAGTTCGGTGCAAGATTGTCGGATGAACAAACTGAAACTTGGTTATTTACGTTGTAAACCATTCGGCCATTTTGAGAATAAGTTCATTGGAAATAGAAACGTACCATGTAATGGTAGGATTTTGAATTGTGCTCCTCTCTCCGAGAGAACATATTCTCTGGTTCTCAACTAACTTGAAACCCCGCCCAAGAGAGACTATCTCTTGGAACAAGCACGTTCAGCACATCGTATATTCCAAAACCAACAGAACATGCCATGTGTCATGTGCTATCAACACCTGGTTATGGCAGATTTCTAATAGGTAAGCACGTGCGAACATTATGAACCATCCATATGTTTCACAGTCATTGGAATCTTTTGTCAAGCAGCGTCACGGTTTACACGAATCCCATGCCTGTTACTTGTTACAAAAACCATTGTTACTTGCTTATTGCAAATGCACTTTTTCCTCATGATAGCAAACGTAGCTACGTTCACTTCATATATGTAATAACAGATAGTTTCATACCACGACCATCGATTTCGCAATCGCTCATGAATCCTGATGGGACGGTCAGTGCCGACAACATACATGAGCTTTGATGATGAAAGTAAAAAAATGAAAATTCCCTGAAGAGCATTCATTGCATTTCGATCGGATGTAAATGCGCCAGTTAACATGATCGCGAAAATCTCAGCAACGTCCTTTTCTTGTGATGAGGCTGGCCATTATTTTTCATCCGCTCTGAAACACAGATTAATAGTGAAACTCGATACATGCAGAAGCATTTGTATATCATAGGAATGACTATTCGTTTTCCTCGCATGAGAAAAGCTGAGACCAATAAGTATTTTCTAAACACAGGAGTTCTCGATGCATTTAATGTGCAACCCTGGTATTGCTCGGATTATCACGCTGATCGATGAGCGACTGACTTTAAATGTGACACTTCTACGAAATAAACGTCACGTCTAATGTGTGTCAACCGCCCAGAAATGTCCAGCTAATAACCGTGAACTGATAATGAATGGATAGATTAACCGTTGAATACCTTGCAGCTGTAGAACATTTCCCTCGTTATTTGTGGTTTCTTACTTAGTTTATTCAATGAGGTTGGTGACAGAGAGAGAGAGAGAGGGAGGCAGTCAGAGAGTGAGAACAAAATTAAGATATGGCCGGGCTCTAAAAGGTTTCGGTGATAGCTGTAAACCCAAGATTTTCATATTAGAATTGCTTGTGGAATTGACGCTTGAACTGGAAAACATAAGTTGATGCAGTTGTACTGAAAATTTGATTACTGGCTTACTTGAACGCTACAGAAATAACACAAATCTCGCAGGAACCATTGTGAAACTAAGTGTTCCCCACGGAATGAATAAATTCAGTCGGTTCCAGCAATGCTCCATGCTTGCATAGAGCATCATGTTGGTAGCAAATGTTTTTTGAACTGAAGCAATGAAGTAGCAAAGATACGGTTTGGTGTGATGTAAGCGTGTTCTATGGTCGCAGGTAAATTGCTTCTATGTAAGGATGATGTAGTTCAAAAGTCAAAGTATACAAATACGTGAACCTACCTAAGCTGGCGATGGGACCTTGGCCTCGCATGTAGATGTGAGAACTGAGAAGTTGCATCGAGTGTTTTTGTTATACACAAAATTTCAAGCTACATGAAAAGTATCATAGCATGGCCTGGAAAACTGAACCTTACACCATTCGGGCACCCAATGGTTCACGGTGACGGTGATGCATCTGAATCGAATGGGAAACAAATCAGCAACTAAGTGCCTAAGCACTCAATCACTACAACCCTGGTTAACAGAACGATCGCTTTCTTTGACGTTGACGCACCTTGACATTAGGCGTTGGTTCCCCATGGCCTACGACTTGTGACAAACGGGCTGCAAATCTTCCTTATCAGCAGATACATTCTCTTACTACAGTCAGAAGATCACAATGATTTCATGCATGTATGTGGCAGACACGCAAGTGTTCAGAATATAAACAGAATTATTCACTTTTAATTTGATTAGACACCAACCGCAACTACGTAATTCCCACCTTATGAATGTCTTCTTGTAAGTCACTCTCGAATGATTGTTCTCATATTGATAACCATATCTGCTGTATAAAAAACCTGTATTGTATTGTTTTTCTTTACTTTTGAATTTAATTTTTTGATCTAGCGCAAAGTTTCCATCCTGATGCGGAAGCACGCACAATTATCTCCCACGGCGTACAAACCACGGCATTCGGGATTGGTCTCCTTACCGAAAGAGGGTTATGTTCTGTCCTTGTCCTCATCCAGCTTCACAGGGACTCCACAGTCCGATGTGTCTCACGGGTCTTGCCCGTCCGTTTATCCCAGTCCACTTGGAGGTGTTGGTTACACGCCCTGGCTCCCCTCGGATCCCGGTTCAATCTCTACCCCATTTCTGTCGCCCAGTGTGGAAGAGTTGGCACATGTCAGCCTTGGAAGTCCCTTGGAGCAACTAGATCAAACCGTGCTAATGGACATGATGGACGATCAGGCGGTCCTCGATTGTCCCGCAGATGATCAGCCATTATTTGTGGCCACTGCAGAAGCCTTTCTCGCCTAAGACATGACCTACTCTATATTTAGAACAGGTGAGACAATAAAGGAAAATGCCGCCCCTTTGTATGTTTGACAGTATGTTTCAATTGAATGTGTTTGATCTTGCAGTTGGCTATTTGGTTTACTTTGGGACTACCATATCTGCTTATTTTGAGATACTTTCCTTTCACTTTTATGCGACTATTTTCCTGTTTCTGACCGCTGTAGCATAATCGGCACTAGGTGTTATTTATGCTTTTTTCTGTGGTCAAATGTTGGACTGAGGTGTGTGAAGCATCAGATTTTGTTGAGCATAAACATTGCGACTCCCATTTCAGGTGCGCTGCCGGGTGACCGATGAAAGTCTCACTCACAACACAGAACAGGGTCCCATCCCGGATTGGAATCGCTCAGTCACCGGCTAAGAGATATTCACCTATCATTTCTCTTTCCCTCTCATACACACAAAACTGTGCTGCTTTGAGGATAGCGATTGATTGTTTCCGTTCTTTTTGTTGCATGATTTCGTCTCAGAACGAGCTCACAGTAGCTGTTTTGCATGTTACAGTTTATCTTTTTGACCCCGATTTGTCAACACGCTGAGAAACAGTATTGTCATTTTGAATCAGAACAGTGACTGAATTACCTCAGGATTATTTCCCTCACTTCACCTCTTTTATCCCGCTTACCACAAGCTCCACTATTATCTTGCCCTACACTCACTTCCTTCCCGATCCCATTCTGGATACAAACTGCGTTCGGTGCCCGTTGATGCGTTCAGTGCATTTTTCCTGCTTATCCCGGTAGCAATTAGTTTAGTTTAATCACGACCACGTTGACGTGCCCGATGCTCATTTTTTGACTTCTTTCTCTTTTAAACGAGACACAACGTGTCACTCGCCTTGCTCTTGGATGCTCAATAAATTCTACCGGGTGAGAAGGGGGATCTTTCGGCACTGCTCATTCTCTCTCCTTGATGAGCGGAAGTAATCCCTTATTCGGACCATTGCTCTCGTCTGGGGCTCCTATGCTGAATGAACCGAGAATTCGCTTTGTTTCAAACAAGACAAGATCAGTGACTCGTTTACTGCCATCGACGAATCACTCCCTTTTCTTTGGTTGATCGCCCCTTGAAGTATGTACACAATTTATATGCTACAACTTTGTATTTATAGTTATCTCGCTCTGTTATCACATACCTTGGTCATCCACAAAAACCCCCAATTTACCACCTGGTGTCCAGACAAGCAGTCATTATTTTGTGAACCGACTAACCCTGATAACAGTCTATTTTTTCTCTTTCTCCCCCCCCCACCTGATTCATGTGCACTTTGCGGTTGTGTGTGTGCATGGATGCGGGTCAACCAAACCTTCGGGAAAGGTTTAGATATGTTACTCACTCACTCATACACTTATCCATCCTATTCTCATTCCCTAATCTAATTGATGAAAAGTTGTCCCATTGGATTTAAATTTATCCCTTTTGTGTGGTTGTTCTTCGTTCGATGAGTAAGCAAGAACGTCACAACTACAAGTCTGAATTAGTATCGAAACCCTTCAAAATGGTAGGCCATTCACCATAGGTTGAGAAGCAATGAATCACACACCCCGGACGAGACCAAAGAGATAACTATTATTTATATTTTCTTTCTTGCTTCTCATGTGTCTGTTCTACTAGGAAAAGAAAACACTAAGGATATAGGTGAGCAGTGGAGGTTTTTATTGGATCCAATAATGCATTTAGACGTAAACAAACCACGAGAAATGTAACCTGGGAGGTTACAAAGCTGGTACTTTCAACCCTGTCCGGTTTTAGCGGCAGTGAATCAACAGAGAAGCTAACTCTGAATAGATTTCGATAGCGGTTCATGCGCTTCATAAATGCACGCAAGCCGTGAGATGTGAGAATCCTCATCCATAAGTGGCAAGCTTCATCTTCTATCCTCCNCCCCCCCCCCCCCTATCCCACTCGCTCCATAATCTGTAAAACAAGCACAACTTTATCCCATCATGGAAATTGGTATCTCTTCTTAGAGATGAAATAAGCATCCGTGAACAGCTATTACTCTTGGATAAACAAATCAAAGGTTCAGCAATCCCGAGCTGAAAATAGTGCTTTTTGCTCATCGTTTTTTAGAATAGTTGAAAAATATGGATACCGGTGATAATAACACTTTTGTTTCAATAGTAAAATGTATCCTGATTATCATCAGTGAAATAGCTAATCTTTTCATCGTTTAAATGTTAGCAGCAATGATCATTTTCAAAGAGTAACAAGGAAGAATTGAGAAGGAAATGCGGGTAAGGTACGAAGAAGCGTCAGGGATCGGTTGTGTCACATGGCTCACAAAACTTGTTAGTTGTTTGCAGATTTCCATAATTAGTGGTCCGCAAAATTCGCTCATGTGTGAGTAACGGAAAAAATAAATAGAGCGAGAGATGGAAATTAGTGAACTGTACATAAAAGCTGCAACTATAAGGGTGTTAACGTATGCACGGTCAAACCGTGCCCACACAAAAAGGGATTTGCTGATGCAATGTACAAAAGTAAGGAGACAGGGTTGGATACGAATTCGGAAAACGTGATAAATTCAAGAACCACTAGCACACACACACGGAAGACATACTGAACGAGTGGTAGAATAGAGGAGCATAATGATATGTGGCTGTGGTTATTACAAGGACGGTGGTGCTGCAGTTTGCTGTGAATATGTACACGCATGTGAACGCACGCCTTGAGGACTGGTTCTCGTAGTGATGGAGCTCCGTTCGCAGGAACGAGTCTAACGTGGCAAGACTGAAAACAAGGATAGGATACATACGGTGCTTCTTTGTTTTGCTTCCTTCGAATCGCTAAGGTGTGGACGCATTTGTCGAGCGTTTCAGGGGGGAGGTCCCGCAATTTGCCTTGTAAGCCGAAAGTTTGGTGGGTTTTATCCTCTCGAAAATAAACAAGGAGGACTGCTAACAAAATACAAACACCGCGACCTGGACATAAATAAAAATAGTGGGATTTGAAGGGTACGTAAGTGAATTTAGAAACAAAAATTATAAACTGGTCGCATTGAAAAATTCTAAATTTCAGACCACAGAAAAGTAAATGAGAATGACTACTACGTTTGGTAAGGCAATTACGTGGATAATGCACCAAACTGAGGAAACCAGCTTTATTGTTGCAAAATCAAACGATCTATGAAACTAACAAACGTTTCGCTAATATGGTGAAAAGAAGGTAGAAAACACGAATATCCAAATAAACCTCATGCGGCATTCCAGTGTGTGCGTGTGGCTAAACGTCAGCTGACAGTTATGCAGCCGTGTTAAAAGCGGGAGTACGGCGAGTCTGGAACAACGCTGATGTTAACACGTCCGGCACGAACAAGTGAATGGATAGAGAGCATTACATATTTCGTTTTCTTACGGTAATTGGTTCACATGATTGAGTAATGAATGTTTGTGAACGTGACATTTGTCTGGTCCATTTATTTGCGAAGAAAATTAGCAGAAAGAGGCTAAAATAGGAATCCACTGTGAGACGTGCGTAACATATACCACAAACTATTTATTTTAGGTTGGTGGACAGCTCAGCAAACAACAGAATATGATTGTGCAGAAAACTGCCATATTGTAGCCAAGTACCATCAAAATGCCAACGCTTGTAAGACTCGGTCATGTCAATCGCGCTGGACGTTCTGGATGGAGACCTCGGGTTCAGCGTAACCGATATTTAGAGTGATGTTACCGACGCATCGTCTTTGCAACTCTAGTCTACGAGAATTCTTTATTTTTACTTTGCCAATGATTTCAACCTTCCAATCGTCCCTCTATTCCGTCATTCAAATTGGCGACCCAAACCGGGGAACAAAAGTACACGATTAGGGATTGTTTAAACTGAAACCTAAACAGTAGAAAGACAAAAATAAAAGATGAGCAGCAATAAAAGCATGTTCATTATGAAAATCGAACACTGAGGGGGGATATCCAACTGATATTTTATGAGCCACAGCCGATAGTTTAACATTGGTTTCAGAAAAAAATCGAAGATACGTATATGGTAGTATTATTATAAGATAAGTTATTACACTTTTACTTTCTGTGTATTTTTGTACACAAGGGCATGATCAAAAGTTGTCCGGGAAAATACAGAAACGGGAAAGATAGGTGGCGGTGGCAGGAATTGAACCCATGACCTCCGGGTGCCTAGAATAGTGCCATCAACAGCGTCAAAATTACTGAGAATTACTGTCTATGTACGATAGGACCTTATGATCCATATAACTGACGATGATCAAGTCATAAACCCATCCTCAAAAGTGGATTTAACGGAAGTCTTTAACTCATGGGAATAGTGTCTGTCGAACTTTTATTTAGACGACGTTTGACCGATGAAGAGCATACGGATGGACAACCCGCCAGCATCACTGAGGCTCAAAAAGTGAGTTCGCGGTTTAGGTATTCGTCTGCATGACATAAGGTCACAAATC